CAACTCACTAACTACTAAAACACCACTGGCACATCAACTCACTAACTACTAAAACACCACAGGCACATCAACTCACTAACTACTAAAACACCACTGGCACATCAACTCACTAACTACTAAAACACCACTGGCACATCAACTCACTAACTACTAAAACACCACTGGCACATCAACTCACTAACTACTAAAACACCACTGGCACATCAACTCACTAACTACTAAAACACCACTGGCACATCAACTCACTAACTACTAAAACACCACAGGCACATCAACTCACTAACTACTAAAACACCACTGGCACATCAACTCACTAACTACTAAAACACCACTGGCACATCAAGTCACTAACTACTAAAACACCACTGGCATAACAACTTCACAAAAACACGCTCACCATGTTTATTTATTTTTTTTAAACTGATGTAGAGCTCAGTGGCGTAGCTAGGGTTAGTTCGCTCGGGCGGGCCAAGATCTTTACCGACCCCTTCAAGGGAAATAAACCCCTGAAGTTGGCCGAAAACGCCAACCCTCCACATAAAGGGGGTAAACAGTTTCGCCCCTTTGCACCCACGTCCCTACGTCACTTGTTGAACAACAAACCAAGAAATAATAGCTTTTTAAAAGAAAGAAAAAAAAAAAGAAGATTACAATTTAGAAAAGATTGCTGAAGAGTAAACAAAGTGGGGGTCCTTAAGAGTTAGTTTATGAATTAGCTGGCATGACGCAGGTGTAAGTGTACGGCCTGTATTCCTAAGTCCAAATTATCCTTCATTGCAACCCGTGGCGCTGGCTCATGTCCAACCTGCACATTTTCCTTGGCAAGAGTAAGGAGTGACGTATAGGGGTGATGGGTGGCCGAGCGGTCTAAACTGAGTCGATCTCAAGCTCTAGTGGACTGGAGTTTACTTCCGAGAAAACTACTCGACAAGCAAAAACATCACCAGCACCCCGGGTGGATGGGACTCGTTAACCTTGTACGGCAACATCTTCAAGGAGAATGCAAACTTGGAAATAAAACCCGGATGGAGTCCCTTAGGCAGTTTAACTCCTGCGACGCAGTACGTATAATGAGCACAGTGAAACACAGACACTCACTGCTGGTCCCCTACCGCATCTTAGGTCTATTTCGATTCGTCTCGACTCAGTCTTGCCGCGGGATTAAATAGTGCAGGACGAGAGAGTGAGGTTTGGCGAAATGAGAAACACTCATTCACTTTAAACCAAATACAGATCAAGTCAATGTGACTTCGCGTGCGAAGGACGAAGAACAACAACCCGTGACGTCTTTGGTACGGGGCCACATTTGCCTATGTCATTGCTGAGCTTTAAAAATTTTTTTAGTTTTTTTGTTTTCCAAGAAATAAAGTCTTGAAAACCTGACCGCCTGGTTTGATTAAATCCACGGACTCTATAGAATGACTATGAAAGTTGAAGGATCATTCCTTTCTTATATGTTTTTTATGGTTCAAGTCAATACATGAAGTCAAGAGAAATCATGTACTTTTATTTT